GACTTTGCCTTGGCAGAAGTTCAAGTTTTTCTACTGTACTGTTTTTATTTTGTCTACTTTGTCGCCTGGTAGTGCCTTTCAGGACTTTATGTTGCATATCTTTGAGCTCTTTTATATTAATACGCGAAAGTGCGTCTGCACTTTCCCCTTTAGGTATTCTACTGTGAAGTCGTATTCTTTAAGCTCTAGCCGCATGCGAGTTAATTTAGAACTAGGTTTAGTCATAGAAAAAAGATATGTCAATGGTCTGTGATCCGTTTTAATGGTAAAATGTTTGCCAAAAATATATGGTCTAAAATGGGTAATTGCCCAATGAATTCCCGCTAACTCTTGTTCTATTGTCCTCTTATTGCTTTCCCCTTTTGTAAATGAACGAGATTGGGAGCTGAATTCCGTCACGGTTCTGAGTTAGAACTGCTCCGCAAACTTGTTTACTGGCATCTGTTATAATGCAAAATTCTTTGCGAAAATCAGGATATTGTAATAATGTGGGGTGCATAAGCTTTAAGGTATTGGAATGCGTTTTGGTATTCTTTTGACCATTCAAAAGGAACATTCTTTTTACATCATCTAGTTATGTGCCGTGAATAATCGGCGAAATTTCTTAAAAATCGACGATAATAATTGCAGAATGCTACAAATCGTCTCGCGCTGTCCGCATCATGTGGGACAGGATAATTTTTGATGACGTCAAACTTCTTGTCATCTGGCAATACTCCTTTGTCAGTGCATTTGTGACCTAAAAATGTCACTTCATGCATTAAAAATTAACATTTTTCTGGATGCAACTTTAGGTTATATTTCCTACATACATTAAAAACATCAGTTATGTTTTTAATCATGTGTTTTTCGGAACATCCTATCCCCATTAAGTCATCCATATAAAGGAATGCCTGGGAGGGTTCTAAACCTGAGAATGCTATAGTCATCATTCTCTGAAATGAATTTGGTGCTATTTTAAGACCAAATGGTAATCGCGTGAAGCGATATGAACCATTGCTCGTTGAAAAAGATGTTATATATCTTGAATTTTCTTCAAGTTCAATTTGGTGGAAACCTGACATTAAGTCAAGGCATGAAAAGTATTTAGCTCTGCCCAGTTTGTCTAGAATATCATCAATTCTGGGGAGCGGGAATTTATCAGAAAGTAGTTTTTTGTTGATTTGGCGATAGTCAATTACTAATCGCCATTTCTTTTCTTCCGAATTTGGTAATGATTTTTTCGGAACTAAGAAGAGTGGGCTGTTATACTCGGATACAGACGGTTCTACGATTTTGTTGTCTATTAATTTCCCTACTTGTTATTGAATTTCTTTAACGTGGCTATGCGGGCTTCTGTAGTTCTTAATATAAATGGGTTTATCATCTTTAAGTCTTAATGTTTGATTATAGAAATTAATTGTCGCTATTGGTTCGGTTTTGAGTCTGAACACATCACTATACTTGGTGGATAATTCTGTTAGTTGACTTTTGAATTGTTCTGGAAAATTTTTCTTTAATTTTGAAAGTACTTGTTCGCTTCTATTTTCTATGAATGTCGTAATCTGTTAAATTTTTATATTGGATTTTGTTTTCTTTGACCAATTGGTCGAAATTAGTTGTGTTTAGAAGGCGAATGCATACATGTTTGGATGCTGCTATTGTATTTGCAACATAAATTCCATTATGTATTTCTTGATTAGGAACAAATATATAATCATTTACTGTATTAATGTGTAATTTTCGAATTACTTGGAATCTGGCTGGCAAGAGAACTGTATTTTTGCCAGCACTATATGTTATCGGAACATGAATTGGGTAATTAAATTTTGTGGTCTAATTATAAACCATCACACGGTATTGAAAAATCGGAATCTACTAAATGAAATTCGTGTGGAATAATATATTTTGTGGATTGAAGTTCTATTGAAGTTGTTCCTTGAGATTTTATTACACCTTGGCCTATGCCTTGGATGTTTATAATTTTTTCTTCTTGAATTTTAAAATTGTATGAATTTATTTTTAAAAGTGAGATATCTACACCAGTATCTATTAGGAATGTGAGTTTGTTTTCAGTTGAATGATTATAAAAAGTGACAAATATATTAAGACTGTAATTGATGGAATGAACCTTTTCATTTACTGGTTGTTTCCTAAAGGGTTCTGAGAGTTTTTGCGCCATTCTCACATTGTTACTATTATAACCTTGGTTGGAGTTACCTCGGCCTCTTCCTCTATGTTGGCCTCGTCTTCCTCCACGGTTATTGTAATTATTGTTTTTGTTGTTACCGCCTCGGTTATAATTGTTGTGGTTGTAATTTCTGCCACGATTATAACCTCGACCTTTATGAATGTGCCTGCCTGCATGTTAAGTTTTACCTTATCAATTGAACAATTTTGGGTCATAGCTTTTACAGCTGTTGTAGTGCTGTATTTGTTTGCTAGTGATTGGCTTAGACCTTCACTGATATAGGCGCCTTCAAGGGCCTTTGCCAGTTTTTCCACCTCTTGGGTGTATTGGTTAGCCGTTTTATTTTTCTGTTGCAAATTAAGAAGCTTAGCAGATACAACTTCTACCGATTCTCCATTTACTGCATTTGATAATTGCGTAATGATTGCAGCAATTGTCTGCTCATTACTTATTAAATTTCTCGCATGGCCTTTTAGCTTTGTTTTTATAAGGCTTATGGCCGTTAGCTCATGTGTGCCTTTTAAGGTTTCTAATAGATTCAAAGAATCTAGAAAACTTTGTAGATTTTCCGGCTTACCGTCAAACTCTGGTATCAGAGATGGGCTAGCTTGATAAATTCTACAACTGTTTGTGCCATGTTTACTAATTTTGTATCTTTTATTTGGTCTTTTGTCAGAAGTGACTTATCAAATGTTACCGGTGTATTTAACACCGATGGTAGATAAAGCTGGAGATCATACTTTTTATTTATGTTCACCAGATTATCCCTTAGACGCTGTAAAACGTCTGAAGTTTGGACTCTGTGTAAACTTGTCAGTTTATTTTGACACTCGGCAACTAGACTCCTGATTTCATTGTACTCATATACAAGGATCTCAGTAAGTTTAATTATGGTGGGTCTTAAAACTGGTGCGCTTTTATTAAGGCAATTGTTTGATTTATCGAAATTTTCTCTATACCGCTTTATCTTTTCTACTATTTGGGACCAGTCCATGTAAGCTTCCGCTACTTAAATATTTTATTTAAGCAGTGGCTTAGACCTTGTCTAAGTCGTTGGCTCGACTCATGTAACGCTTCCTCAGTGATTTTTTATGAAGAAGATAAATTTTCAGAAGGATGTTTACTGAAGATATTACAATGAGTATTATTAGCAGTATGTTTGTTAACTGCACATGGGGAGTGGTGTCTACGACTTCTACTACGTTAACTACATTGGCAGTGCTATCATCTGCCTTTGATTGTTTTCCCCTCATATTCCTATATTGTCTGCCCTAGAATCGGATGCTCGTCAATAATTGTTTTTATTTTGACGTAGGGTAGTGTAGACAAAATTATTCCGCACTCTATTTTAGAACATGAATAGAGTGGACTTGTCAATGTGCCGAATGTTTCTATATATTCGGATTCGAACTCATATACTGATATGAATTCTCTATGCCTTTGCAAAATTTGTATGGCTCGCATACGAAAGTCTGTATAGTCGTTATATACTTTGTTAATCTTGTCCTCGATCATGCTAATTCTTGATCATAATATTGAATTACCTAATGAGACAAGCGGAGCACCTATTTCTTTATATTCCAACTGAACGAATTAAAACTTTTTAATTTCCTCTTTTTAATATTAATATTCATATATAGTATGGGATCATACATAAAATTAAAAAGGAATTATCTTTAAAAATTTACAAATGCGTAATGTTAAATTTGTTTTCGTTTACTTTTACAAGACAAGTTGTTGTTTGTATCGTTCATTTGAGGTTTTATTACATATATTTATTGAATTTGATGTTTTTATTGTTTACAAGTCGGGTTTTGTTTTGCTTGTTTGTTTTCTGCTTAAAACGCATCTTAAAATTTTTATTTTTTTTTTACAATCTGACGTAGGCATAAGCGACGGTTTGCCAGGTGACGGCTCCTTTTGGATTGTTGTTTTTTTTTTTTTGGATTTTTTTTGTTTCTCTTTTTTACAGGTATAAAAGTAAGTTTTTCATCATCGCATCATCAACGTGGGTGGTGGCGACTTTTGTTTGTTATCCATTTTTTCATCGTTATATAATTAGTCGTGCAGTAATCGCCCCTCAAATAAGGAGTGTCCACATTTTCATTATAATCATCAGTCGTGCACAAGTATGTTTTTAATGCCCCTCTCATTAGGGACACACATTTTCAACATATGTGTTTTTCTTCATAACGTTTTCCATTCAAATTCATCAACATTCATTGGCGGTTGTGTAAATATCATATCTTATCTTCCATTTCAACATTATACATTCACATTATACTTTTGTCCTTGTATTCCCATTTTGTCCACAATCAGTCGGGGATGTGATCAACCCTTGTTGCTGTGAGACGCTCGACCGCCCTGTGCTATTACTTTTTAACATGTTCGTGACATTTGTCACAGTCGCCATGTAAAAAGAGCACTTATTGTCAATGAAAAAAGGCCAGCACGTCAGTACTGTTTAGTATCTTTGTTCAGAATGAATTTATTCAGTTTTTATAACGTTCGCTTAGCCTATGGATATACATATATACTTATGCTGTTATTCGTTAACAGCTACAAGGAGAGGGAGAGTGAGTAGCTCGCATATGCCTGTTTAGGGAGCATATATATTGCTCACGGAATGCGCTCAGACGGAGCGTGGGATATGCAGCATAAGCATAAACGGTCAGCTAGTGAGGCTAGTGAACCGCGCTGCGTAATATGAGACCGAGCCAATACATAATGTGGCTCTGGGCTCGTTTACCATATTATTGTTATTGTATGCAACAAAGTGCTGCATACTTTATATTTAAGTACGGGGTATTCTGTAAGGGCATATACGCACTACACCACTCATACCACTTTTACGCTGCGTAAATGAAACTGTCCTCTAGTTTTCCTAGACGGAATACAGATTAATGTAAGCACAACGCCCAATTATCTAGGTGTCACACTCGAGAGACGGCTGACATGGCGTGAACATATTTTGCGCAAAAGGACACATAGGCAGAAAAAACGGTGAAAAATTATACTGGCTGATCGGCAGGCAGTCCAAATTGAAGATTCGCGTCAAGCATTTTAAGGCATCCATCTTTGGGGTACCGCCAGCAAAAGCAACCTGTCCAGTATTCAGCGGTTTTAAAATAAAATTCTGGGTATTTAATCAAACGCGCATGCTTACCATGAAGTTAAGGTAATTCAAAGCCAACTATTAATTGAGTTCAAGGGGCTATTGCCAAGAAAACTTAACATATTGGACACAATATACCACAAGGAAACTATACATGAAATTAAAAAACTCTTGATAAAAAAAGACTTCCCACAAAATGTAATTAAAACATTATTAACAAGTAAGAGTTTCTAGTCAGGAGCTCCCGCGTAGGGATACCCTGAACCGTTTTCTTCCAACATCAAATGCATATATATATTCTATTTTAGAAGCTATATATCGAGTTTGGTGACTCTAGCTCTGATTATTTACCAAAATTGCCAAAAAAAAAAACAGGATACCGATATGGATTTTTATCGATTGCTTGGAAACAGAGTAAGTAATCGATTATCGGAAACAAACTCGATCTGCGCGGGCACTAGGAGCACCTACACCTAAAATTTCAAGTCTCTAGCTCTTATAGGTTCTGAGATCCTTGCGTTCATACATACGGACAGGCAGACAGACGGACATGGCTAGATCGACTCGGCTATTGATTATGAGGTCAGAGATGCTTCCTTCTGCCTGTTACATACATTTGGATTTTGCTCAAATACAATATACCATAATACCCATTTTTAATGGGTTCAGGGTATAAAAAGACGACATATCGAAACAGAAAAGTCTACAGAACCTAACAAAATATACAATTCCCTAATATGTAAATGTCCCACGCCTATCAGAACACATAACGAACTCAGACAACTACAACAACAAGGAAATAATAGAGCATACAATCCTACAAATTTGTTACAAAAATTGTTTAATAAGATAAAATTAAAAATTCCTATGACCGACAAAAGTAACGTAATTTACCACATACCATGTGCTGGAGAAAATAAAAACAAATACAACAGTGTGTACATAAGCACAACAAAATCCAAACTTAAGCAAGGATTACTCAACATAAATCAGATTTCAAATTAAGACATCAAAATATGCAGGAAACAGCACTAATGACCCACTGAATAAGAAGCAACCATGCACCAAATTTTGATGCAGCAACAATCTTACAACAAGAACAACACTACAACAAACGCCACACATTAAAAATGTTACACATAATTAACACACCAACAAACAAACGACTAAACTACAAGACAGACACAGAAATAAATCGCCACGTCAAATAGCGCAGACGTGTAAAATAATGTATGTTGAATGTGTCAATTTATTGTTTAATTTAATCTATTTTAATGTTAATTGTTTTTTTTTACCCCGAATACGTTAAAAATGTATATAAGGGTATATTGTATTTGGTCCAAATGCAAATGTATGCAACAGGCAGCAGCATGATGCTGACATCATGTCCATCTGACTGTCTATCTGTCTGCCTATCCGTTGGTCGTCCGTCCGTCGATAATCGATAAGAATCGATATAGACATGCTGGTTTTTTGAGCAAATTGGGTAAGTAATAAGAGCTAGAGTCATCAAACATGCTATGTTGCTTCTAGAATATTATATATTTGTCAAGTATCTTTTATTTTATACTTATCGACACCTCCCCGCCACCACCCTAGAGCTATAAATCAAGTTGATAACCCAACTTTTATTTCCAACCAATTTAAGCCACAATTTAAATGCAATTGACTTTTTCAGAATACACAAATATTCTATGGTACAATAAAATGTAGAAAATTTTATAGGGATGGGTTAAGAAAAACCCAAAGTTATATGTAACTGCGCAATTGCACATCTAACGAAACTTCATGAATTTTTGTATACATGTACACACACACACTCACGGTCGTCTGCTTCGCATTCTTACATCATGGTAATTTCGACTTTTTTCTGTAATATTATTTTAGTTCGTTATTTTTCTTGTAAGTACTTTATTATTGGTGTGGCTGCTGAGTAGAGGCATAGCAAGTAATGCAGTCTGTCGCGAGCTCGAGCCCTACCAGGGGAACTTTTTTTTAAATTTATTTGGTGTTGGAGTAAGAGGATTTAGGGTATTCCCTAGTCGGGAGCCTCGACTAGAATCTCTTACTTGTTTTTCTAGTTTGACTAAATCCATCGTCTTCTCTACGCTCTAGTTGAGATTCTATCCTCTCCTGTTCAGCATATATAGAAATAGACCTATTTAACTGATTTCAGCTCGTTGCCTCTGAGAACTATTAAGGACTGACAACTTTTTTTCTTAACAATAAAATTTGTATCTTTTTAAGTTAGGTATTTAACATTATTATATATATTATTTAAAATATATAAATTTAATTAATTTAATTAAATGAAATAAATTAAAATTCAAGCAAATATAGTAATTTATTTTAAGGTAAAAGTTTAAAAATATTTATTTAATATTTTTATAATTTTATAATATAGTTTTATATAATATAACATTATTTTACATTGAATTATTAATTGATTTATTATCATGTAATATGTCTGAAATAAATGAAATTTGGTACTAAATATTTGAATTGTCTTCAAGAAGACTTAAAAAACCAAAAAGGATATTAATTGCAATTTTAATTAAAACGAGAAAGAAGGGCTATCTTCGGCACTCCAAAGATCTAATACCCTTGCAGACCCAACCTTTTCATAATGCTCCTAGTGCTTTGCCCCTATCTAAGAAGTACCGGGAAAATAGTAAATGACGAGTTTGATGAAGATATCTTGATAAACAAAATGTTTTTTCACACAAAAACTTAATTTTCGACCGATCGTTCCTATGGCAGCCATATGATATAGTGGTCCGATCTTAATAGGATTTCGCATATATATGAGGAGTAAAGTAAAACTAATAAATGCCGAGTTTGGTCAAGGTATCTTGAAAAACAAAATGTTTTTTCATACAAAAGCTTAATTTTCGCCCGATCGTTCCTATGGCAGCTATATGATATAGTTGTCTGATATTAATAGGATTTTGCACATATATGAGGAGTAAAGTAAAACTAATAAATACCGAGTTTGGTCAAGATATCTTGAAAAATAAAATGTTTTTTCATACAAAAACTTAATTTTCGACCGATCGTTCCTATGGCGGCTATATGATATAGTGGTCCGATCCAGCTGGTTTTCACATATGTGCTGCGTGCAACAGAAAGAGAGTTCTGCAAAGTTTTATTAAGATAGCTTTAGAACTGAGGGACTAGTTCGCATAGAAACAGACAGACGGACAGACGGAACGGACATGGCTATATCGACTCGGCTGTTGATGCTGATTAAGAATATATATACTTTATGGGGTCGGAGATGTCTCCTTCTATGCGTTACACATTTCACGACAAAATTATAATACCCTCTGCAAGGGTATAATGAAGCTCCAGCTGGTGAAACAACATCAGAGTTCAAGATTAAAAAAAGGCTCTACACTTTTCACGACAGTCACAAGTGTCTTCTCTAGCAGTAGCTAATGCAGTCACACTATGTATATACAAAAATACATACATACAATGTACATAAATTTACGCACACAAGTCAAATAATTCACACCTGATGGGGGTGGGGAAGGCGGTCTATTTTACAACACCAGTTGTGCGAATGACATTCGCACAAGTTCGGTTCCTAATAAATGTCTCTCGCACACTTGCACATACACGCCAAATATTAACGACCGAAAACAATTTGTATCGATAATCTACTGGAACCGCCTAAAATAGTTTATTTGATAAAAATCATTGTTAAATCACTAAAAAACCAAAAATCGGCAATCAAAAATCGACAACACGCAAAAGTCTGTAGTGTGGTGGCAATCGCAGGCTATAGACTTAATGGATTTCTGTTTCTTCTGAGCTCATTTAAAGTGAGAGTGTTGGAAAATACTCACTCTCTTACGGCCACAATTTGATATACATATGAAAATGCGTGCGCTGCATAATTTCCACATACATATATTACAGCTCTTAAGTTATCGACTTATTTTATAAAAACCGCAATATAAATTATGTAAATATTAATGGCTTATAAATTACAAATTTTAAATGACGCGCTTGATTAGGTTGATAGTTGATAAAATGTCTATTTCATGGATGTCTCACTTGAGGCGAAAAAATATACATACACCGGCGCTCACTTTCAAAGCTTATGCGAGATTTCTCATTAAAACAAGTAAGAGGTTCTAGTCGGGAGTTCCCGATACCGTGAACAATCTTTTTCGCAACTAACCGCAACTACTTGCCGCCGTCTCAACTACGCAACTACTTGCCGCCGTCTCAACCACCGCCTCTACTCAACACAACAATTATTGACTCTTAGTGAGAAAAACACGAATTGAAATAATAGCACAGAAAACAATACATTTGCAATTGCAATGATGTTGATGGAATTTGAAGCAGACGCGCATGAATGAGTATGTACATGCATACAGCAACTCTAGGAATTAGCGCTAGCTGCCGCAAAGTCGAGTTTCTTAACCGATCTTAATAAAATTTTCTATAGTATGTTTAATTTTACCATATAATATTTGTTTATTCCCAAAAAGTATATTGCACTAAAATTGTAACTTAAATTTGTAGGCAATACAAGTTGGGTTATTAACTTGATTTATATCGATGAGGTAGTAGCGGGGAGGTGGAGATAGGTATAAAATGAAAGACAGACAGACATGGCTAGATCGACTCGGCTGTTGATGCTGATTAAGAATATACAAACATAATGGGGTCGGAGATGCTTCCTACTGCCTGTTCCATACATTTGCACAAATACAATATACCCTTAATACCCATTTGGCCAATCGCGGCTTTTGGAATTGTGAGCCAATAACTGAAAAAACAAGAGAGGTTCTAGTCGGGAACTCACGACTTGGGAATACCCTGAACCCTCTTATTCCAACACCAAACAAATTAAATAAATAACTTCCTTTGGCAGGGCTCGAACTCGCAACTGACCGCATTACTTGCTCTGGCTCTACTCAGCAGCCAAAACAATTATTAAGTACTTGTGATAAAAAAAGAACTAAAATAACATAACAGAAAAAAGTCGCAATTACCATGCTGTTAGAACTCGAAGCAGACGTGCTTGAATGTGTGTGTGTAGATGTATACAGAATTTCTTAAAGATGCTGCACTATTTAATAATAATATAATTTAAGTTTTTTTTTAACCTATCTTTATGAAATTTTCTAAAGTATATCTTATTGTACCAAAGAAAAATTGTGTATACTGAGAAAGTCAATTGCATTTATATTGTGGCTTAAATTGATTGGCAATAAAAGTTGGATTATTAACTTGATTTATAGCTCTTGGGTGGTAGCGGGGAGGCGATAGGTATAAAATAAAAGATACTTGGCAAATATATAATATTCTAGAAGCAATGTTTGGTGACTTATTATTTACCCAATTTGCTCAAAAAACAGGATGTCTATATCGATTGCTTAGAAACGGAGTAAGCTATCGATTATCGGAAACAAACTCGATCTGCGCAGGCACTAGGAGCACTTACATCTAAAAAGTCTCTATCTCTTATAGGTTCTGAGATGCTTGCGGACGGACGGATGGACGGACGGACGGTCGGACAGACGGACGGACATGGCCAGATCGACTCGGCTATTGATGCTGATCAAGAATATATATACCTTAAGGGGTCGGAGATGCTTCCTTCCGCCTGTTATATACATTTGGATTTTTTACAAATACAATACTCTTATACCCATTTTTAATGGGTTCAGGGTATAAAAAGATAGCGACAAAAATTAAAATAAAACTACTTGCTGATAAATCAATTTTTTTGTAATTAGCACCCACAATGAGGGACGAACTAACGAGGTAGGCCAACTATACAACTTAACAGTCGCTGCCAATAAATTCTCCGCGCCGACCTACCCTTTAATGGCAGCAGTCCACATGCCGGGGGTAGTGTGAATAATGATCCCGTTAACGCCTTAGTGCATATAATAGATATTGTCAAACCCAATTAATCCGACGCAGCTGCGGATCGCCTGATTCAATCACAGGCAAGTCATAAAAATCGTAAGCGCAAAGTCGTAGACAGCAGGTCCCCACCTGTCGCCGTAAACAGAGCAATACTGACACCAGTCAAGTTTGCATGCATGCTTTCAATAGATATACTCTCTTGGCACCATCCGATAACGACGAAGACATGGATACTTACGAATCTGAGGCCGAGCAGATAAATTCAGCCCAAGAAAAGAACTTACTTGCCCCAGCGTCTCCTCAGGTTGGGGACAGCAGCCAGCCTAATGCTGTCGCCCATGCCAAAACCAGTTCATCCGTGCACGAAAAAAGGGCCATCACCAATGCTCCCACTGGAGGATAAATGGCATCGACGACATCAATGACGTGTGGCATATACTATCTGAAGTAGTCGACCTTGACAACCTGATCATCGAATCCAACCTATTTTGGACATTGCGGCTCCTAGCCAATGATGTGCCCATATACTGGCCCAAAATAAGGAAACCGGAAGAATAACAAATTCAGTTATATTCATACCAGCTG